GCGTACTCTGGTTTCGGGATGATGACAGCTATCTCTTAAAATCAATGTGGTGATTTTTTTAAAGCGTGTGTTCGTGATGAGCATTTTGAGCGGAAGAAATGAGCGATTAACAAACACATTTTGAATGGCTATTATTTACATTTAGCAACCCTGTAAACGTTAATTTATAGTTTGTCTGAAGTAAGAACTCCCCTAGCCATTCGTCTGGACTCGTGACTGTGGTAACGAGGTATGACTAGTGTGTTAGCCCTGGAGTGAAGAGAAGTTCCCTCCCTGAAATGCCCTATTCTTGTTTCCATCGCAGCAGACGGCCTCACACTTTGTGGGCAGGGGAGTTCTTACCGTAGACAAACTATAGTCCTATATTATCAGGTTTCACTGTATATCAGTCAAGTTGTGATTATTTTCTGCCCGTGATGTATATGGAAGGGTTGAGTTATTATTTAGGTTGTTTGCTTGCATTTTGACAACAGCTGTCAGTGCTCGATTTCTTTTTTTTTTTTTTTTTTCAAAGAGTCGTTTTGTGTGTGATACTTTTCTAAATTTATTTATCTATATATTATGTACACGTGTGAATGGCATTTGTTTTCTTTGAGTCAACTTAATAATGAAAAAAAAATAGAAAACAATTACAGTTAAAAAGTAATTTAATTATGACTAGTTAGTCATAGTTTTATTATAATTAACTTATACTTTAAGATATTTATGTGGCTGCTATTGAAGGCAGCTGATATTTTATACGCATTTAATACTTAGTACTGTATGGATAACATTTTTCCTGATATATAACTGTATGATGCTCATGTTCCTCTGCTGTATTACATAAATATCCAAACTTGTTATAATAATGTATGTAAATTATGCAATATGTTATCAATTTGCAATCTATGAATAATAAATTTGCTTTAATTTTATGCGGTGTATATTATATTTGTTATTTTAATTCATATTTGAAGCACAAATTCTTTTCCCCTGTTAGATGTTTTTTTTTTTTTTTTAATTNTTTTTTTTTTTTTTTTTTTTTTTTAAATTTTTTGAAGGAAAAAAAACATTTTTGTTCTTTTTAAACCTTTTGGTGAGAGAAAAAGACTTTAACTATTAAAAATTTGTGTCTCCCCTTAACTTGGCTTCCTATCTTTCTTAACTCAGTGAGGTAAAAAAATACAGCAAAAAAGTTTTTTGTAGTTCAACCCTTCACTAGTCGGAAAAGATGAAGGTCAAAAGTACGATGGTGCCAGTTCCGTTTTATAACATGGTGCGTAGCGTTTTTAAAAAGTACTTAAAGGTGCTTATTTTCGATTTTCGTTTTTTAAAAGCTCTTAAAGGTGTTTTTTTTTTCATTGGGTATTTTTAAAAAGTGCTTGATATTCCCTTTTCGGAAAAGAGATTTTTTTTTTCCTTGCCATGTCGATTTTCAGCACTTATTATGCAAAAGCGTTCTTTTCACATTGTTCTATTCAACATTTTCACAATTCATTCGACCACAATCCATTTCGGCGTATCATCGGTTGGTAGCGTATGAAATCGCTAATCATTTTACTTGTTTGATGAAAAACTTGCGAGTCCACATGTGCTTCTACTAAGCTGGGTTCGGTGAGACTCTTGCACTCTCGTGTGCAACTCTGCTGCCTTTTGCAAGATATTCTCAATTTCAGACTTTATTTTCGAAACTCTGATATCGAACCGAAAACTCTCTTGATCATTTTATAATAGCTAATATAATAAATAAAAGAGTTCTTTGTCAGAAACTAGTTAATGATCATGTAAAGTCTTTGAAAATTATTTTGTTAATGTATAATGCTTAACAATATTTTTGAGTGCTTCAAAAGTACTAAATAGGTGCTTATTTTTTGTTGAAAGATTTGGCTATGCACCCTGTATAATGATTAAGATGAAAAATAGGAATAGGGTGCTGTGTGGAGAAAACTAGATTGTCATGCCAAATATGATGATTATGCTTAGGCTTATTATATACTTGTGAATGTTATATATACATACCTACCTATTATTGCAAAAAAATATATATTTAGACTATGAAAGCTTATAATAGAACGTATTATCTTGATAAAGCTCTCGCGTCCCAATGAGATAACCCAGGGTTCGATCGTCGTAGGGTTGGCTGGTCGATATGAATTCTGCATCCGACTCGCACCGAACACAGTGCTGACAAAATATCCTCAATGGTAGACGGATCATGGGTTAGAATAACCTTGCTGTCAGGTTTACTGTGCAGGTTTTCGTGTTTTTCCTTCCCGTGTGACGCAAATATGGGTTAGTTCTTTCAAAATGTTTTCCATCATGGCTAATTTGTCCCAATGCTTGATCCAGGAGTTCCCTTGACTTCTAGATCGAAGTTAAAATTATAAGGCTATACAACTCAATGCCTGAGCCCACACCAAATGATTTCATAATTTGCTATACGCTAAAGCTATAGGGCTTACAGCTATTTGTAAATGTAAAAATACGAGGAACATTAGTTTAATTACCGTCTGTGATACCGAGAACATTTTTATTAGTATCTTGGCTTGTTTTCCTTAATCAGCAAAATAATGGGTTAATATTGGTGTAATTATTTATCTGTCGTTCAACACCTACAACTTTAAACATTTATGTTAAGTAACTAACAAATTATATAAAGAATGAACGCATTTTAGTAAGAAACGTTAGATTCTCATTTAAAACTAATGGATTTATGTTCTTTTAGTAGTGGCCATCTATCTATAAGTAGAAAACAAAACTGTATCAAAGAGTCTGTTTTTGTATAATAGGCCACTACCTTAGTAGCTAACTACGGAAATATGTAGGCGAAATCAGCACCTGATTTATCAAATCTTGTGGCCCTTTAAATGTTACAACTCTTTTGTGTTTTTCCTTAAGAATTATCTATTAGAGTTATGAGTTAACAGATATTGTGATAAATATAAACATATATTTACTAATACATCACAATTTTTTTGTCTTATAAATAATTAAAAAAACATTTCATTATTAAACTACATGTAAACTTAGTTTAAAGTTACGACTAGGGGACCCCTGACAGTTCTGTGCCTGGGGTCCCCGCAATTCTAGATCAGGCCCTAGGCAAGATCTATATGTTCATTAAATGTTTGACACTGTAAGCTGGGGAAAGCTTGGTTTTACTGAAAAGGGGGGAGGGTTTAAATATTGTTATCTAACCAAGTAAATCTTTGTTTCCGATATACTTTTTTTAAGCCGAATCTAATGAAACCTAATACAAATCAATAGGACTATTAGTTCAAATGTTATGAAAGTTTTTATGTATAAAACGAATAGTTTTGTACTTTATACATCTTCATGCGTATGCTGAATCATATAAAACCAAAACAAAATAGTTCAAAAGTTATAAGTCTCTTACAATTCAGCTTAACACAATAGGATGAAACAATTAGATTGTCTAGACAGCAATGTCAGACACACGTATAAAGATAGAATTTGAATCTGTCCCCCGTTTTTACGAATTTCCTTAATAACGTCCACACTATAAGTTCTATATCGACGTGGATTTCGTTTCTTTCGATTCAACATTAAAACACATTACTTTCCTTGTCCTCTGTTAGAGTTTCCCCCTATTTCGACTCACTTTCGCCGCAGTTGATGAAACATACTTCAACTAAACTTCAACTTTCGACTAAACTTTAACTTTTCTCCCTCGAAGAAGAGTTGAAACTTCAAATAATATTCGTACACCCTCAAGCTGGCTTTCTATTCGTCGGCCACCGCGTTGGGGAGCCCAATGGGTTACTATAAGTGCCTATTCAGGGTTGTCACTCCACAGGGCAAACCTGGAGAATACAGGAAATTTAAAAATCACCTAAAATAACAGAAAAAATGCATGGAATTTCTTTACAAACTGGGAAAATACAGGGAATTTTGTTCCTTATTTTCGTCTTTTAAAAAGTGGTGACCACTGAAAGCGCAATCTGTGGGATATTTAACCATGATATTTCAGCTATACTAAACTATATTTCGTTTACTACAGCATTATTTAAGTATGTTCAGCTGTTTCTTTTTTGCTGTAAGTTTTTCTAGCAATTAAAACTACGCTGTTAAAAATTCCGAGCTACGTTGCACCATAGATTAGTATTTATTTGCTAGCTACGTAAAATCGAGTCCAATTTCACCATATTTTTGTATTTTCACTAGCTCTAAATATCCGTAGAAGGTGGCACCAAAAGTGGGTGCTTTAAAGAAACAAAACACCTATTTTCATTCTTTCTTTTTTTTTTCTTTAATAAAAGGAGGAATGGTGCACCATCATTAGGTATTTTTAAAGCACTAAAATGCAGCTCAAGGTTGTTATTTATCGTAACAAAATTATTTACTGTAAGTATGTTATTTTATGACATACCTCTAATCATTTTATACCGCCAACCAAATTTAAAAAGACGACATAAAGAAATGAACTTTATAATTAATACAACTAAGACATTTACCCAACTAAGTAAGTTGATACTTGAAACAAAACGGATTAGTCTTCCCGATACACTGAGACTGAGTCGTAAAAAAAAAATTATATATATCGTTGTGAATAAATATCGTTCAGTTTACAATCACCGTCAAAGTTTTGTGCCTTTTACTAAATTTTGGTGCAGTCAGCTTCACCATTGAAGTATTTCTCAGTCATACTTCACAATTTAAGGTGTAACTAAAATAAAATGATCTTTCATTTGACTAAACTTTGGGATAACGAGAAACTTAGCACCAAATACTAGTTAAAGATTTACCTAGTTTTTTTTACAGTGTAGTATAGTTAGTTCAATATAGCTCACACAAGAGTACAGTAAACGTTTTTCCTCTCAATACATTGTGTATAATATATACAGCAAAACATAGGGAGTTTTTTTCCCCCAGATTGAGTGGCAACTCTCTACTATCCTAATAATCAGAAATAAAAATGTGTCATGTTTTTGCTTTAGATTAAATGAGTTGAGTTAAAAGAGTTTGCCTCCAACCAGATTGTGAGTTATGACACAACATAATGAAAACAAGCCATTAAATCTATATTTGTGCATCAATGTCGGTGTATACAAAGCAACATTTGATAACAAAAGTAAAAAAAGAACAGAAAATATAAATAATGACAAGGTTTATGAGGAGATGATGTGGAGGGGGAGCGGATCTTCTGACAGGCAGGACTTGTGACGGACGGTTACACGACAGGACACCCTCTGCAGATCTTTGCTGTGAGTGGCAATGTTGATGATGCTCAGAAGGCAAATGCTCCATTCACAGACAGACACAATCACATGGAAGGTGGAATACTAAAAACAATTTTATTATTACTCTCTCAAGCAAAATTTTACCCCTTTCGATAAATGGTAATACTCGAAACGGCATCTAAACACTACGCAAAAGAAAGAGCCCAAAATTGAAATGACCAAAATGGCAGGGTCATCATTCTCTTTATGTTATTTGTCGGATTCATGCCTGGTAATTTATTTATTTTGATTTATATTTTCTTCAAATATTCTTTCAGTTTTAACATTAGCAGCTTGGTGCTGTTGTGTCTTGGTATGTTTTATTTATCATTACAGATTATATGTTTTCAGTTTTTTTTTTATTATTAGATTTTGTGTTTAGTTTTCAGATTGATTAATTTTGTTTCTTATCGTTATTTTGACCCTCTTTATTTAATTTTTGCTCTCGCCGTGGTTACAAAATTTACTGGCGATGGTTTTTCGTTTGTGTTCGATTACTACCTTGTTGTATCGAACCCTGATGGGAAGAAACCACTCGCGACTGGCGCGAAAATCCCTGTCCCTGGAAAAGAGGATCCTGTAAGTTGAGGATCATCCTGGTACCCCAACACACTACTTTGGCTTATGCTTCAGGTAAACAGTAGGTGCATACTGGCCTGTCGACTAGTTACGAACGTCTTCTGTTGGTTAGGATCAGGGCTGGGGTCACTTACTAGACAATTCGTTAAGGGCTGCTCCAGGGGTGACTCGTGGTCTTGATGGCATTAATAGCATGGTGGGGGTGATCAGCATCGACGTTCAGGTAACAAATTAGTGTCAGAACCAATCTGTTGTTTGCTTCAATAGTTGCTTTTCAAAGTAGTTCTTAAACATAGCTGTTCCGCACACTTAAACAGAAAGCAAAACAACCTTCTCACCTAGTTTTAACCTGTCAAAATGCACAAATTATGACTTCTCTAAAGCAAAATTTCTGATAGAGTCCTACAGAAAAGTAACTCTTTTATGTCAACATTTGTAGTAAAAAAATCCTTGAAAGACTCATTGGGAATCCTAAAAATGTCAAACATATGCCGTTAGACGAAATAAATTTTGCCATATATACAGTTTCTCTTAAAATTGAGTCAACTTGGAATTGTTAAAATTACAATAGCCCTTCACAACACTTAAAATATTTCTAAAGGCGTCATTTAAGATAGAGCATTACAATCCTTACCCATCTCTGAAATAATCAAAGGTATCTCTAATCAAAGTGTTATAGATTCGCTCCACATAACTATCATGAAAGGTTGTGATATTTACATTATTCAACATACAATTTTAGCACTGCTGTTCTATAGCTATTCATATAAAAGTTGTTTAACGAGAATGCAAAGTCTGTTCATAGATTCCAAATCCTTTAAGCTGTTCTAAATGCCAGAAGTTAGTCACACTCTACTGACAATTGCAGAGGAAAAGAAACCTGCTTTCGCTGCAGTCAAGCTGAGAATTCTTTCAAATAGCTGACCATTTCGAAGACATGATGTTTGAAGCAGCCAAGCATTGTTTAAAATTGTCCACAAAATTGTTAAAACATCCCAAATCATGGTGGAATCAAGATCGCAAGGAACAAAACCGTTTGACATAATAAAAATAATTAGATGTTGCCATATATGCCATTACGATGCAAAATCTCAACATTTATATTTAATTTTTAAAAATATAATAGATTTAATACAAGAGACTTAAATTCAAGTTCCTATTTGAACTTGGTATCGACCATTTCGTTACGATTAACATAGTAACAAAATATTCTAACACAGAATTATAATAAATCTTTCGCAATATATTTTATTAACAATATTATCTTTATTAAAAAAAAATAATAATAAGTAAAAAAAAAGGCGGAGATGAGCCAGAACGGGGATTGATGAACCTAGACCTCTTAAAAATTCATTGTTTAAGTGGATGTAACTCTCTTTATAATTTAAAAGAGTTTTCGTAAATTAAAAAATAATTACTAGCTCTTGCTTTTGGGAAAGAGAGTCCAGCAAACAAGAGCAAAACTCTTTTTATTCAGTTTAGTACACAAAAAGTAAAAATAGTATCATTTGAACTTTTTTCTAGCCAAGTAATAAATATCATATTTTTGAGGTCACAAACCCGAATCCGTCTAGAAATGGGTATGTTTATTTAAAGGAAGTATGTTCGTGGGCCTAATTTCATAACTTATGTTTGCACACAAATTAATTGGGATATTTAAGGTTATCTACTCGAATCATATAGAATCCATTCCGATTATTTGATCAAACGTTATTCGATGATCGTTCAAATTTTGAAAAAAATTAGGGTAGATACGGATATTTAAATAAAACCTTGAGCCTATGGATGGCTGACCGTTTAGAGCTAAGCGCAAATGGCGCTGGGGTCAAAATTCACCGTAAGACTACCGTGTTACTATTTTCGACTGATTTAAAAAAAAACGCACTATTCATTTTTATTATATTTGTAATGTTTTCAATACATCGCATTTTCTTTTTCAATTTAATTTTAACGATATAAATTAAAAATGAAATTGGAAATTACAAATAAATAGTTTTGGATCAGCAAGCTTGCTATGATGCTATCCAAAAAATAACAAACGGCGCTATTTTATACAAATATAGCCAAATAAGGGATAGCACTTAAAACATGGCAAACCTTATGCTTTATTTATACTGAGATATTAATTTTGTTTTAGACTAGCGACCTGTTAGAATTTACAATATGTAAGCTTGTTATAGTTTACATTCAGTCAAGCATCAACAGCCAACAAATTTCCAGTGCAATGTTTAAGGGAAAATGTGCCAGATGATCAATGGATTATTTAAAGAAGTTTCTTGCGAGAAATTTTCAGTGTATCATTTATTGAAAATATCTTAGAAAAAATTTCAGTGTATCATTCTAGAGCCGCAATGGCTCTAGGGATAAAGCTTTCTCCTTCCAATGAGGTGAACCGGATTCGAATCCCAGCGATGGCTGGTTGATATGAATTCAGCATCCGGCTTGCTCCGACCACATTGGGACGCGAAATATCCTCAGTGGTAGACGGACCGTGGGTTAGAGTTCCTTTGCCGTCAGGCTGACTGTGGGATGTTCTCATGGTCTTACTCTCTCTATATAACGCAAATGTGGGTTAGTTCCATCAAAAAGTCCTCCCCGAAGGCAAATTTCTCCCAATACTTGATGTAGGAGTTCCCTTGTCTTCTAGATTGGATTTAAAATTGCAAGGCTGGTTGAACACTGGTCGTCGTAAACCTAAAATTGGGTCGGCTGTTCAACGATGGCTATTATTATGAGTATCATTCTAGGATTCATTTACGGGAAATTCTAATAAAATTTCTATACATTATTCGTTCATTAAGAGGAAGGTCAGATAAAGCCCTTTCATTTTCCCACTCTACAGATTTCTCCCCATGGTTGCCAAACAACTGGACTGTCTGAGAAAAATTTTCCTCTAAACATCGTGGATGGTGAATAATAAGTATACTTACTTCTGTTGGCAGAGTATAGGAAATAGTTTTCATGTATTCAAAATCGAATGGTCTGTAGTCGAGTACTTCCATAACAAAGAGAGGCAGAGGGTACAGAACTATAATGTTTCAGTTAAGAGAAAATTTATTACTGTTGGGGAGAATAAAATAGGTAGAACTTTGTGGGGAGAGTCATATCGACAATGTCAACATTCATCTATGAAAAGGTACCCCGACATAGAATCGAGTTTACTTGTCTTATACACTCGTGAATTTTGAGTTCTATTTTTGTCGTGGTAGACGCACTACAGTACACCCCCAGAATTGTATCTGTGATAGAATTCGATGAATGGATACCACTAGTAGATTCATTGCTGTGAGCTGTATTAAGATCACCGATCTTTTTAAATGCTGATTGTGTGAGCTGTATTCAGTTCACGGTCACTCCTGTGTTGCCTTTAGCAGTCGAGTGTATACGTTGTGTGTGATCGAGACTGATAAGCAACAGCGTGAGGAGGACAATGTTGCAGTCACAAGTAGCAAGTCAACTGTTCAATGTGGAGCATCAATCGAAGTAGGCATGTTCAAATCATACTGGGCGTTTCTACCAAGGTAGGCTTGTTCGCATCACGTCTGGGTAGCCAATGTGGGGAGAGTTGTTATAGATCAATGTCAATCTTCATCTATGAAAAGGTACCCCAACATAGAATCGAGTTAACAGGTCTTATATACTATTGAATTGGCATTGTAATTTTATAGTGGTAGACACACTATAAAATTATTTTTCAGTTTGCAAAATTTACTTTTTGAATTTTTCGTTTCATAACGGTAATTCTCATGCAACAGTGAATAAATCGGTTATCTTTAATTGGGCTAAATTATCACACTAATTAAAAATTTTTAGTTCTCAATCAATGATTCAGTCGTTGATTTTGTGTTTGCGGAATGAAAACTCAATTAACAGGATTGGATACGATACACTAAATTGAATCACGAACCCAATCAAGGATTCACTCAGTTTTTCAAATACACTTCTAAAAGTGAACCGTATAATAAATTCTAAAGTGAACTGTATCTCAGTTTTAAAAGTGAACCGTAAATAATTCTAACTCATTTAGTAGAAAATTCATTTTAGTTAGCGTTCATAAAATTTTATTAATCTGCATGTACTTTAATGTATAGTTTTAGCCAAATCAGGGCTCGAAAAAACTCAGAAATTTTACCCGTCCCCGAGGACGGCATGTCCAACAATGTACCCGTCCTCATTAGAAACTAAGCCGTAGCTTCTAAATAAATAAAAACATAATTTTCTCCTATTTATTACAAATATTTATACAAATTGCACAATGAATTAGTAGTTACAAGGATTACATTATACAGTAAAAAGAGAAATACTAGGTTACTAATAGTAACCTAGTATTTATGAAATAATTTAAATGACAAAAGTCAAGTTATCTGGAATGTCAATTTATCCGCGGGTACTGCGTTTTTTTAAATGAATCAAATATGACGTTTGCCAGTTCCACAATCAAGCCAATGATTTACAGAGGTTTCTGCACAGAAATCTGAAAGGGGTTTTCCATTTAGGTAGATGTTCATAATTGCTTTTAAAGCTTCTTGTTTAAGACCAGTACGTATTGTGTTTTTTTGTAAGTTTATTGCTGCAAAGCCCCTTTCAACCGCTGCAGTACTCCCAGACAGAGAAAACATCAATATATGCGCAGTATGTTGCTGTATTGTGGGTCATTTTGCTGCCTTGTAACTTACAAGACTCTTGTAAGATAACAAAAATTGAAAATGTATCACGAACATTAACGGGAAAATGGCCGTCCGCTCGGACGTCGGATTCGAGAAATTCGTTGTCCGCGGGGAATTTTTGACCGCCGAGGACGGGCGGTTTTTCGAGCCCTGAGTCAAATAATCACTCAAATAGCCCAATCGGCTATCATTCGTTTTAATTGTTGAGAAAATTGAAATTTTAAATGAAACAATCAGAAACTAAAATTCTACGGAAAATTATAAGCATTAAGTTACAAAATTTTAATTATACTAAAGATACCATGTTGCTAGCGAATCGTGTGCCTAGCTTTAAAATTATACAGAATGTTTTAATCAGGTCCCCCCTCCTTTAAAAAAAATAAATAAATAAATAAAACAAAAACGAATACACCTTAAACCAACTGAACAAACAAGTTTTTGTCTTGTGAGTCATTTAACCGCTAATTTTTTTCGCCTTTTCCACGTCGATGATTGTTTAGGATATATAATCGTTTTTTCTTACATCATTTAAATATAAATCAGAGACTTCTTAGTGGATTAGTTTTTTGATATCTTTTTTTACATTTATTTTTAAAATATTCGAAATACCCCTAAATTCATGGGACAAACTTAAAGGGAAGGCAGGGTACATCATAATAAGATTGAGAATTTCGTAGCAACCCGTGACCGGGAACGGCAAAGTTGCTAAAAGCACCTTTTCCTTATGGGCTGACTGTTCGTGTTCATTTCAACTGGTGTTTTATTTATCTAAATTATCTTTATTAAATGTTTTCGGGAAGAATTTGGCAGATTTGGATAATTAGTCACCAAATCATCAAATATTGACAAGAACAGCTATTTTTGTGCCAATTTGAATGCTAATTTTCACAAAAATCATTAGAACACGTAAAGGTAAGGACAAATAGAAGCACGCGAACAAAGACAACCTATAATGGAAAGACTTTCAATACGGCGTACATTTCCAATCACGGTCTTCTGTGCGGTTCTCAAGTCTTATGATACACCATCCATAACTCATCTTAAAGTTGATTACTTTCCTTTAAGTTAAGTTGGGGCACCCTGTATATCAAGGGCACCCTGTATATCAGTACAATTAACTTAAGATACAATTCAAGTTAGTCTAGCTACTATTGTCATAAAACATTTTTTTGTAACAAAGCAATATATTTAAGGGTACTTTTCCGTTAGCCAGCCGCAAGCGAAAAATCGCCAAATAATGTAGAATTCCGCCAAATTTCTTACAACCATAAGGGGAATGCTAGTTTGGGTCCACTTGCTCTATTCTCTGAATTCATTCAAAACAAAGCACGTTTTCTTAATTTTTGTTTTAAAAAACGATGAAAATTGATGATGAATAAATGAGGAAATTAATAAAGATTATGTAAATCAATGAAGAAATGGTGAATATTATTTGTTTATAGTTGAACTTGTTTTGATTACTGTTAATAAATATTTGTTTAGAGTTGAACGTTTTCCAGTTTTATTCCGTTGACTGCTTTGTCATTCGCTTCGCTTGGCGACTTGGCTCGCGTTTAGTTCACACTTGGCGACATTTGCACCTGGCAAACGGCCAAAGTATCTATTTATAAAAGATGAAAGTGCGGGCTTTGTTTTTGAAAAAATGATATTTCTTGTTGCCAATTTTTTTACACTATTTTTTGGTTTATAAGTAATATTTCTTGTGGCCAAATTTTTTTACACTATTTTATTGATTGCCTTTAATATCATTCCACCTTCATCATTAACCCTTTCGAATGCCGTGGAATTGGTAAGTAGACTTATCACCACTTTTTAAAGTCCATGGTAAACTTTTTTACCACTTTTAATTTAGGTTTCCATTTGTTAGTAATTTCAGCTTTTTTGAAGTGGGTTTGAATAAATTTGGTAACCATTTGTTAGTTTAAGAAAACGTATAAAAGTTATAAAATACACAATTCCCTTTGAAGTTTGTAGCATTTATAAAATTTATTTTATAAATAACGAAAAATAAAAGTCAATAAGTTCCTAACAGGTCGTGGTAAATATACTTACCATCCAAAAAAAATGGCATTAAAATTTAGATTAATTTTTTATAAGCTAAATTAGTTTTTTTTCCTTATATCAATTACGATTCTTATATCAATTTCAATTCCAAAAATACTTTAATTTACCTTTGCTAGAAACAAATGGCCCATTAAAGGGTTAAACAAAAGGATACCTATTAGTCCAAGTATAACATAAACAACGACAAATCCAAACTTTGTGTATCTTTCCGTCTTGCTAGTGTCTGGAATGTACCACCACAGGATTGCGTAAAAGAACTGGAATACTGCTAAGCCCACTAAGATGACAGATGCTGCAAAACCATGCTCAATCAGAACACTGATAATCTAAAAGAAAGTCTATATGAAGTGCATATTATGATAAAATAAGAAACCTTAATTCCTATTTTAAAAAAATGATCCTTTGTGAGTCGACTGAGATCTGCCGACAAAAATAATGCAAAAATAATTTAATATTTAGTTAAAAGATGGCGCCTCACACTCTCTTTACTATAAGACAAGAATAACGATCGAAACGGGCTACTGGTGGCGTAGAGCATAACTCTCTACCTATGGCAACACTTCGCATGCTTTCACCATTAGCGTGTGGAGAGTCATTGAAGAAGGAAGTACGTTAGTTTCTGTCTTGATTTTCACATATATGAAAAACTTTTAAGTTAGGAAACTATATGAAACTGAAAACTGCATTAAACATAGTTCTAAAAAAAGCATTGTGAAAAATTAAAAAAAAAATATTTTTGATAGTTAAATATTGAAAATATTAAGAAAGGGGAAAATATCGTAGTACATTCCTATACAACTGAAAAGAGGAGGAGAGGAAAGGGCATTGAGTCAAGACATGGAACCGGTCTTCTCCCCAGATGGCGTATTTGAGCGTTGCTATCGCGAATAGCAATGACCACAAAATGACGAATGAAATAAATATTAATGACCACAAAAGATATAACTGAGTCGTCTAATGGACAACTAGTCAAATTTTTGTTTTGATGACGTAGCTAAGTTAACTGTTAGCCGATCATGAAGCCAAAGTATCGAAAGTCCTCTCTTTTTTGTTCTGAATATAATTAAAAATCGGTCCAGAAGCGTGTGAAGATATATATTTCCTTTCTGAAACATTCACGAAACAGAGCTTGCTGCGTAAAATAACCATTTGAACCTTTTTCCTTGATTCGGAGATCACCTTACTTACGAGGTAAACATAAGCATCAAACCTAAACAGTAAAGAGGCTCCCCCCCGTACTCGTTGTGTACTATTCAAACTATGTTTATTTGTGTTGAATAGTGAAATAGAGATGTTATCGTGAGCAGGGAGCGATCAAGACAAATTCAGGCCCAAGGCCCACCAAATTCTCCGGACCCCTTACAGAATATTTTGAAATTAAATTACTGAAGTTTACAGAATATTTTGAGTAATTAGTCCTAACAATAGAAAAGAATCTATTGATCTGCATGATTCAAGATAAACATTCTAAGAAATTTTGAAAACAGACAATTGAAGATTATTTTTCTAAGATGACGTTTACGTATCTATAAATTAAAGGAAAAATATAAAACAACAAATCAATGTTACGTCAAAATAAAAGTAGTTTGGTGACCACAAACAATTGAAATCAGTGACATTTGCTAAAAGTCACTGATTAGCTGAATTATATTTTTTATTGCAAGCTGTAATTATTTTTTATTTAGTACTTAAGCCAACACAAAGCTATACCACCTTCCATTAGACTTTTTACTAATTTTTGAGGCCCCTCAGAAATTGTGGGCCCTAGGCGATAATCAGGCCCTGACCGTGAATGATTGAAATCAAGAGAATGTCAACTTTCACCGGTGAATGTCCACAATCATATAGTCGCTTCGGTGAATGTTCGAAATATTTGTTATATCAGATTTGATATTAATTTATTCGTTGATATTATTATATTTATTCGATATTTTAATATCTGCTGAGGATAGATTAGGAGAAACAACAGTGTTCAGAGTACCGGTTAAATGCATACTGGGCAGTGGCACTTGACATTAAAAAACATTGATGTAGGGCATACCGGGCAGTGTCAATGAACCTTAAAAAATCATTGATGTTGGACATACCGGACAGTGTCATTTAACTAGTTTATATTTTGGACATTTACCAAAGAGACTATATGGTTGTCAACACTTACAGGTGGAAGTCATCAACCAACAATTTCGGTCATTCACAGTAATATTATTATATAAACAGCAACAACTGAGTTGTAGGTGAAATATATGTTTTTGTTTATTGACATCTAGTTCAGTCTGTTGTCCGAGAAATAATCAGAAAAATGTAACCCGAAGTTATAATTGCTTTCGAAATCGCATCCCGTGAAAATGGTTATATTTCTTTATTGAAGAATTTAATTTTCATTAGAAAAGCGTGATAGGAAATACCAATGCAATGTTTTATAAATGTTTGCCCTTTTCATAATTTATTCAATATACTGCTATTAGAAATATTGCCATTTTCGTTTGAAATAATTTCATAAAAGCAACCGAAAGATTAAATAAGTTAGGTTGGATCGAAATATAGTGAGAGGATTAAAAACTCTTCACTGTTTATAAAAAATACTAACTCTCGGAACCCCTAGGATTCCGTGGATCATCATTTGGAAACCGCTGCTCTAAAGTAAATGATTACATACCCATTGAAATTTGTTGGGGTGGTCGCGGTGAATCCTATAGGGTTGAATTATGAACTCTAGGTTGGATCGATATATAATGAGAGGATTCAAAACTCATCACTGGCTATTAAGAATACTAACTCTCGGAACCCCTAGGATTCCGTGGATCATCATTTGGAAACCGCTGCTCTAAAGTAAATGATTACATACCCATTGAAATTTGTTGGGGTGGTCGCGGTGAATCCTATAGGGTTGAATTATGAACTCTAGGTTGGATCGATATATAATGAGAGGATTCAAAACTCATCACTGGCTATTAAGAATACTAACTCTCGGAACCCCTAGGATTCCGTGGATCATCATTTGGAAACCGCTGCTCTAAAGTAAATGATTACATACCCATTGAAATTTGTTGGGGTGG